CACCTGGAATTGCCAATGGGTGGCATGATGCCACCTGGACCAGGAATACCACCTCTAATGCCTGGTATGCCACCAGGTATGCCGTCTCCTGTTCTATGTCCTGGAATTCCTCCAATGACTCAAGCACAGGCTGTTTCAGCACCAGGTGTTCTTAATAGACCACCTGCACCAACAGCAACAGCTCCTGCTCCACAGCCTCCAGTTACTCAGCCTCTTTTCCCCAGTGCCGGACGGGCTCAGGCAACTGTCCAAGGACCTGTTGGTACAGATTTCACGCCCTTAAGTAGTACCCCTGCAACAACTAGAGAAACCCCGAAGCCTACATTCCTTGCTTATACACAGTCTACAGCTTCAACCACTAGTACAACAAATAGCACTGCAGCTAAACCAGCGGCATCAATAACAAGTAAGCCTGCTACTCTTACGACAACCAGTGCAACCAGTAAGTTGATCCATCCAGATGAGGATATATCGTTGGAAAAAAGAAGGGCACAGTTACCTAAATATCAACGAAATCTTCCTCTTCCAGGACAGACTCCCATTGGTAATCCACCAGTTGGACCAATTGGAGCTATGATGCCACCACAGCCAGGCATCCCACAACAACAAGGAATGAGACCCCCAATGCCACCTCATGGTATTCCTCTTTTTATGTTTATTATTTTTAGCAGATTTTTTGAATCTACACATAAAATAAGTGTATCTGCAAAAGATACTATCGTAAAAATACAATGCACGAACCAACTCAATCTGTTTTTTGTATTTTAAATGTGTTTTTTAGGTCAGTATGGTGGTCATCATCAAGGAAATTATTTGAAATAATAAAGCAGGAACTTTCCCGGAAGTTGCAATTCATAAAAAAAAAAAAAAGAGTAAAGGAGGCCAAATATATGGTGACTGAAGTTGATTTTATTGTGGCTGTTGGGCACACAATGCAATATATAATCATGTATCATAGATATGTACATTGAAACCTATATGATCTTATTAGCCAACTAGTGGACTGGTGCACAAAATTCATGCATGGGGGTGGGGGTGTCCCTCAGCCTGGCCTGCACCCTCTCCAATCTGGGACCCCTCCGGGGATCACTGACTGCCGGTTTAGGCCCAATCCCTTTGGGGGGCCTAAACCGGCAGTCAGACATCCCTCTTGCAATCCGAGACTGATGGCTCCTTACTGCTCACCTGCCTGCCTGCCTGATCAGCTCTAACCACTCTGCCTGTCAGCCTGCTCATCCCCTTCTGCCCCCTTCTGGCCTCATCCCCAACTGCCCCCCCCTTGCCAGCCTGCTCACCCCCAAATGCCCCCTGGCCGGCCTGATAATCCCCAATTGCCCTCCGCTCCTGGCCTGATTGCCCCTAACCACCGCTGCTTCGGCCCCACAACCATAGCTTTGTCTAGAAGGATGCCAGAAGGTCTCCCGGTCTAATTAGCCTATTACCCTTTTATTAATATAGATGTCACTCCAATAAATTCAATTTAAAAATAAAAAATGGTTAAATAAAAATTTGCAAACATGCTGTGTAAACACAAAGCCATAATTTTTAAAAGTTTTAAAGTATATATTTGCATGAGGTTCTGTAGAGAGTACAGCGACTGCCTCTATAATATAAATTGTTGCTCTTTTAATTTCAGACCTACCTCCCTTTCACATACAAAGTCAAATCAAAATGAACACAATATCTATTTCTGAGGAAACAGTGGACTTTTAAAGCATAACCAAAGATAAAATACTTGAAAATATTTTCATTTTATACTTCCATTTTACATTTATATTATTTGGTATCCAGTGAACCAAATCATTCTAAATTTGGTAGCATCTTAAAAAGAGACCAAGTGGAGGGGAAAGTTATGAAAGTAGTATGGAACTTTCTAATAGATATAAATACACTTGGAAAATTGCAGTTTTCCAGCCTTGATTCCATGTCCCAGTCTCATTGCATGACTTATCATTTCTTAAACATCCAAATCACTTATAATTCTCCACCACAAAACTGAATCTTTGAAGTCTTATATCCTATCAACTTCTTTGAAATAGTTTCAAGATAGCCCCTAAAATTCAAATGTATTCTCTCATTTTATACAGTTTGTGAAGAATATAATTTTAAATATTTTTTCAACAGAACTAATTTAACCAATAGAAATATTGATTACACCAATAATTTTTATAATATAAATAAATCTTTGATAAATGTGTAGTCTATATCAAGCTTCTCATAATATTTTATAGCATCTAAAAAATTAGGTCAGCCCTAACCGGTTTGGCTCAGTGGATAGAGCGTCGGCCTGCGGACTCAAGGGTCCCAGGTTCGATTCCAGTCAAGGGCATGTACCTTTGATGAATGCACATCCCCAGTAGGGGGTGTGCAGAAGGCAGCTGATTGATGTTTCTCTCTCATCAATGTTTCTGGCTCTCTATCCCTCTCCCTTCCTCTCTGTAAAAAAATCAATTAAAAAAATTAAAAAAATAAACAAATAAAATAAAATAAAAAATTAGGTCAGATTTGAACTGAAAAACACAGGTATACTTTTTTTCAAAAATATTTCCAGATTTATTGTAAAATAAAAATATTATATATATAGTAATCAATGTGATATTTTGAGATATGTATAATTTGCAAAATGATTACCTCTATCAAGTTAATTAATATCCATTACCTCTTAGAGTTACTTTTTTGTGTGTGGTGAGATCACTTAAGATCTAATTCTTCAGCAATTCTAAGTATATATTAGAGTATTATCTATGTACTAGGGGCCCAGTGCACGAATTCATGCAACTTGAAAGGAACTATGGGCCACCAGGCTGCAGTAGGTACAGGGGTGGGTCCAGTCCATCCTGCCACAGCCCCCAGTCCACTGTCTGCCAGCATCCCCGCTCCCTCCTCCACCACTGCCATGTGCTGATGGCGCAGAGCAATTGGGGCTGGTGCCAGCATCTGGTGCAAGCAGGGCTAGTGCTGTCAGCAAGTGTGGGCTGCAACTGCTGCCCCTTTTGCCCCTTAGGAGCAGGGGGAGGTGGAGAAGTCCTGAGGGGCAATTGGGGCCGGCAGCCATCACTCATACCCACTATCAGTGCTGAACACCCGGCGCTGGCGCCAGCTGCCTAAGCAGGTGCGAGTGGCAGCTCCAGCAGCAGCAGGTGCGAGCAGGGCCAGTGCCGGCAGCAGGTGCAAGCACCCGGCAGGACCGCAGCACACGGGAGCAAAGGATTTTCAGTAACCACCAGAGGCTCAAGCCGAACACTATGACGTGCACTGACCATCGTGGGGTGCAAATGGAACATGGTGGGCATTGGCCATCGAGGGATGGTGGAGCAGTTGAGCAGGGGTGCCAGACCAAGGCGCGGCACCAGTTGCTCTCATGGGGGTGAGCCTCTGGTGGTTACTGAAAATTATTTGCTGCCTCGCGCAGCGGTCCTGCTGGGCGCTCTCATCTGCTGCTAGTGCCACCCCCGCTTGCACCTGTTACCAGGACCGGAGCCACTGCTCACACAGGTTGCCAGTGCCCGGCGCCAGCCCCAATGACCCCTCAGGGCTTCTCCACCTCCCCTGAGCCTGAGGGGTGATTGGGGCAGCAGCCTCCACTCGCGCTCACTGACAGCGCCGGCCCCTCTCACACCCGCTGCTGGCACCAGCCCCGATAGCCCCACACCATCAGTGGGTGCGCGCGGGGCCAGCACCGTCAGCGGGGGGTGGAGCAGCAGCAGTGGAAGCAACGCTGCCAGCAGACAGGGGACCAGGGGCTGCGGTGGGAGGGGCCAGGCAGGGGCATGGAGGATGGGCCAAGAACCGCCTCTGTGCTCACTGCAGCCTCTCAGCCCACAGTTCCTTTCAAGTTGCACGTTTCGTGCAGTGGGCCCCTAGTTAACTATAATTGCTAGCTTGACATTAAATCTCCAGAACTTATTCATCCTAAATAACACATTTTGTACTCTTTGCCTCTTGGACTAACTTCTCCTCCCCGTTTCTCTCACTCTCCATCCCCTAATAAATACCATCTAGTATTTGGTTTTATGAGTTGGACTATTTTAGATGCCACATATAAGGGAGATCATGCATTATATGTCTTACTATGTCTGGCTTATTTCACTTAGCCTAAAGTTCTCCAGGGTTATCCATGTTGTCACAAATGATAGGGTTTTCCTCTTTTTTTAAGGCTGAATACTATGTATGTATGTGTGTGTGTGTGTGTGTGTGTGTGTGTGTTGTGTGCATCCATGTGTATCACATTTTCTTTATCCATTCATCCATTGACAGACACATTGACTATTTCCATATCTTGACTATATGTATCAATGTTGCAATGACCATGAGAGTGCAGGTGTCTCGCTGAGATCCTGATTTCATTTCCCTTGGATATCTTGAAGTGAAATTGCTGGATCACCTGGTATTTAGTTCTATTCTTAATATTTTTAAGAATCCCACAACTGTACCAAAATTATATCCCCAACAACAGTAGAAATAGTTCCCATCATTCAACATCCTCACCAACATTTGTTATATTTTGACTTTTTAATTGTGATTTTATTTGCATTTTCTTGACATCAGTGATGCTGATAACCTTCTCATTTACCACTCGGCCATTAGGATGTCTTCCTTGGAAAATGTCCACCTGGATCCTTTGCCCATTTTTTAATCAAACTATTTGTTTTTCTTGTTATTGACATGCACAAACTCAGTAACAAGACTATATTTTCACAGTCATTTCATTATGACATAGAATGTGAGGGAATATGTATATACATACACACACTTAAAAACACACAAAGTGTGTGCATTAGGTGTTACAGAAGTGAGAAACAGAATAAAATGCTAAAAGAGTAACAGAATAAGAAATAGTGCTAATTGTCTCAATCTTGACAGTCTTGTTTTTATAATTTGACATATATATATATATATATATACATATATATATATATATATACACACACACACACACACATATATAAAAGCCTAAGCGACTGATACGACTGAATGACCAGAGCAACCAGTCGGCCAGTTGCTATGATGTACACTGACCACCAGGGGGCAGGCACTCAATGCAGGAGCTGCCCCCCGGTGGTCAGTGTGCTCCCACAGTGGGAGTGCTGCTCAACCAGAAGCTGGGCTCATGGCTAGCAAGCACAGCCGCGGTGGCAGACGCAGCGGGACTGGGGTGAGTGGGAGTGGTACAGCGCCTGGCCTTGGATTAGGCTCTTCCCTGGCCACCTACCACTTAGCGCACTGCTACATTCCTCATATCCCATAAGCCTGCAGTTAGAATCTCCAGAGAACAGTTGAAGCACAGATACGTGGAGTAACCAGGATGAGCCTGATATTGCCGCTGGGCTCCTGGAACTCTGTCTCAGGCATCAAGATCAAATCTCATCCCTTACTGATTGCCCTGGAGCTACAGAGGAAGGCAGCAGTAAAATAGGTGGTGACTGACAATCGGAGTAAAAGTCAAAGAGAGATGGATCTGAAGGGCGGGGTGTGGGCAACAGAGCACCTCTTCCCCCCACGATCCCTAACTTTGTATTGTTCAACTCAGAGCGTCTCTTATCTGACTCTGAGCAGTGGAAAGCATCCAGCACAGCCCAAGGTGTCCACCGGGGACGGCCGGCAAGGCATGACACTGGCAGTAGAAGGGACATTTGGAAATAGTTTTTCAGGAAGCAGACGCCCCACGCAACTTCCCAGGGGCTCACAGGGACATGGAAGCTCCCCAGGCACACAGGCGCGGGCTCCCAATTTGTTTTCAATGTGCACAAATCCATGCACCAGGCCACTAGTCCTATATAATAAAAGGGTAATATGCAAATTGACTCTAATGGCAGAACAAC